CACTCACAGCAGCAAGCACATACAGCACAGCAGCTCCCTTTCCTCTCTCTTGCCTTTGTAATAAACAATACTTAGAAGCACTTTGACATTTGCGATTTCATCTGATCCTCCTAAGCCTGACCTGAGACAGGGATGAAATGACACTGTACGATAAAGGGCTCACCCCAGACCATACCACCAGTCACGTCCAGAGCCAGACTTGGCACTGAAGCCATCGTATTGCAAGTTGGGCATCTGTCCCCAACCGCACACTGCCTGGATTGGCAGAGGGCAAGTAGGACAAAGGACACTGCACACTTGTTCTGTCCTTAGGGTGACACCAGATGGCCAGCCCTCTCCCAGCACCCCGTTCACATGCCCTCATGATGCCAAAGTCCAAGGGTCAGGGTGGAACTTAGGACACACCACGCAGGACAGTGTGTGGATTTCAGGATTTGTTTTCTTTTAGTTCAATGAATTGGCCTGGCTTCAAAACGTAATAAGTTGAGGCTGATCAATCATCACAAGTTTCACAACTTAACTCAAGAAAACCTTCATGTTCATTTTATTTGAACATGTTCAACAGTATGAATGTTAAACACCTGTCACTCCCCCCCACAAGGAAATATCCCCCCTCAAATCATGCCAGGTCATTAAGGAACTACAAGATAAAATGTCTCACATTAGACATAATTTCCTTCTCATAAAAAGCCTGAATTCCAGCTTCGACATACAAAACAAGCAAAACTGAGAATAAGGCACTGATAAAGTTGAAAATCATACAGATAGAAAATGGAATTCAAAGCACAACTTCTTTATACACACCAGAAATTCATTAAGTTCATTATTCAGAGCCCCATTTCTAGCTTTTGAAACTGCCAATCAGTTGATGTATTTAATGACAGGCTACAAATACACATTCAAGTACAAGTTGGTAATGTTACTAGGAAAGAAGTCGGATCTGAGTTAACAAGCACTTTGAATCTTGATCATAAACATCGAAAGGAACCTGGAAGAATGTACTTTTTAAGGGAGAGGCAGGCACTCTGGCATTTGGAGCAAGTATGTAGATTCAGCTGTAATTGTGCTTCTAATATTAGCAAGTCAGATGCACACCACCTTGTTATTTCTCTAGTGAATCACCCTCCATCTCCTGCCCTGCTCCAGCTGGACCCCACGGAGCAACGGGGGTTGACTTTAGGGGGTGCCCATCTGCCCTCAGCATGCTGTCAGACACACCAAAACACACACGCTGATGACTTGAAATAATAAATTATTCCCTGGAGGGGGGGGGAGGAAGAGGAATTGGTAAAGGGACACAAAAATCAACTGCATTGTATATTGATAAATTAAAATAAAAAATAAACTATTCCCCTACATATACCTCCATTGATGCAAATAATTGAGGGGGGAATGTATTCTCTTGGAACTTACAGATTTGGGAGTGAAGGCAGGAATTACTGACCAATGAAAGAGCATTAAAGTATTTTCAAGGAGTCATGCGTCTTTTTTCTGGCTGCCACTCATTGTACTATGATCCCTGGCAAGACATGAACACAAAACCATTGCTTTCTCTACGAAATGGATCTAATATCTGCTCCATTTATCTCTCATTTATCTCTTTTTAGGAGTACCTAAAAAGTCCTTTAAGTACTTTATGTAAAAATATAAAAATAAAACATATTATAATTGCTATAAAATTACTTAAGGAATCCATTTCTTTCTTATAATGTAGAGTTGACACTATCTTTTGTGTATAAGGAAAAACTAGACTTATTATCTAATAAATGAAAATAATTGAATTACAGAAAAACGTAATTATAACTCTCCAAATTCACCAGATACATAATTTACATTGCAATGAGTTTGCTGGTTAGGGCATTGATTAAAATCACTGCCACATAAAATGGCTCATTCAATATTTCTTTGAGAATGCAAATTGAAGAGTAGCAAACAATAAGCAAACTTTGAAAATGAAATAAGGCTGACATTCTAGGAGATGATTAAGAAAATTAGAGAACCAGAACCCAAAAATGTTTTTAAACGATCTTATTGATTTCTTCCAACACTGATGAATAGAAAATGAAATTTTAATTGTAAGTCAATTGTAAACCTTTGTACTCAGGTAGTATTTTAGAAGCATACAACATTCAAAAAAAAGGCATCAACACCAGTACAGGAATGTGAGTTTTGGGTTTTGCAGAAACACAAGTTCTAGCTGTTAACCAACTTCTGGCACTCAGCTTTAGTGGAGGCCTGCCTTGAATACTAATCAAATGGAAACGACCTTAAGTTAACACTCTCATGTAAATCCTTTCTGTAAAAATCATAACAAGGAAACACATTCCTTTAACAGACCTTTGGCAGGTTAGAACTGACCTTAGAGAGTATTTGGTCCAACCCTCATTTTACAGAACTAATGGCTTTGACACCTGGCAGCATTTTCTTATCAGAATGATCAAAGACTTGTATCACTGGTTATTTCTCTGGATAATGATCAATTCCTGTGCACTGACCATGTGGAATATCACACATACAACAAGAAAGTCTGCAACAAGCACATAAAGGCATTACACTTGCCCCATTTCTTTAAAGAAATAAAGTAACAAGAGTTATTTCCATAGACGGTATTGCAAATTCTGGCATTTTTTGTAAATTCTGAACCTAGGGTTTAAAAGTGATTTGGCTGGTTCTTAGAGAACGAAATCAAATGTGTCTAGAATTGTGCAGCACAACAAAAGTTAACACACTTGATTTCCTGCTCACATTTATTGGGGCTAGAGACTAAAACAGCTATTTTCCTCCCAAAGAACCGGAAAAATATAAGACAACAGCAATTTCTTAAATGTATAACAAAACTTCCTGGATCATGAATCAACATGAGATGTAATAGCCTATAGATATCAATTGTGACAGCTTTATAAAATGTCATTCATCTAAGGCATTTCTGAAATTGTTCTTAAAGCTACATTATGTACACAATTCTATACACATAAAGGCATCCATTCATGAACAGAAAGAAAAGTCTTTCAAAAGCACTGTGTAGGGAAGGCTAAAGTAATACATATTTAGATTCTAAATAAATTTTAAGAGAAAGTTTTGGTTTCAAACAAACATGCATATTTTCTAACCTGGGTAGGTAAGATTTTTGTAATGTGGGCTACAAAAAAATTCACACTGCGAATTATTTGTTTTTCAAAGGCCTCTTTCAAAGTACAGATTTCAAGTCCAAAGCAAATATCCATGGCATGAACAAATAGGATGCTTAAGATTCTAGCATTTGCTTCTATATGGCTCTCCTCCTCACTTCCCTACCCAGTAACAAGAGAAAAGTTCCTGGAAGGGGCAATATCTAAATGTTATGTCATTACATCCCATAGTATTTCCAAATGGTGGGTTGTTACATCCAGATTACAATTTTGTAAGGATTTTTAATTTTATCTCAAATGAGCTATACCATTCCAAACACAAAAAGACTGTTGCCACAACATCTAAACATTATTATATAGACCCACCTTTCTTCCTAATACAGAAAGAGAATCACTAGGAAAGGATAAAAGCTGGCAGGTAGAGGAGGAAGACAAGATTAAACTCCTTCACTGGCAAGTTATTTAAAATGAAAATATCAGCTCCTGTTATCAAAGTTGTGGGCTCTCTCCCCTTTGTAAACAAAGCCTCTAAATTGGTTTATGTCTTGCCCTTTGATGCACCAGAGATAGGTTTAGGTTTAATCTACAAACCTGTTCCTGTTGATTCTGAGTCTCACACATATTTAGTGGCTTAAGCAAGAAATCACCACTCTTCAGGCACTTTTCAACATTTAAAAAATTAATTCCAGTTATTTAAAACCAGTTTGACAAACACTCCCACTCCCAAGCCCCAGCAAGAAAAAAAGTAACTAATTCTGTCATAATATCTCTGCAAGAAGACAAATTCTTTCAATTTTGCCAAGGAAATAGCATAGATATTTTCTTCTACTCCAAATTCAGGAGCTGTTTCTTTGATAACACAGCATTTTAGGTTACTCAAAATCAGCCCCTGTTTAAAGATTCTTTGTGGAACCAAGCTTAGAGAGTTTACTAATGGAAAAGCACATTATCACTACTGACATGCTTGTTACAAAAATTCAATTCCAGTTGAGTTCCTGTGATCCCCTGAGCAATTAGAAATGCCCTTTACCTATGAGGCAGTAGGCTATGTGTAAGATAAAGCAAATCAACTATTCAAATACATGTACATTTATATTTATATTAATATAAAACACATTGATAGAAGAGGTTCTTTCCTGAAGTATTTAGAGTTTCAAAGGAAAACAGAGACACTTAATATTGAGAAATTTCCAATAAATGATTTCAAATGATTTTGGTTGGTTGCCATTAAAATGTTTTCCCAGAGTTCTCATCCATGTCCTATACAAACTGTAAATAAAAAATGTACATGACCAATAGATATTAATACATATCAGATTGGTTGGTTGCCATTAAAATGTTTTCCCAGAGTTCTCATCCTTGTCCTATACAAACTGTAAATAAAAAATGTACATGACCAATAGATATTAATACATATCAGATATTAATACATAAGGGTGAATTAAAGTTCCTTAAATAAACATATCCCCACTTAGGATACATCCCGTTACTTAAGTAATGCATCGTCCTTTTATAATAGGTCCAGGATAGCAGCAATTTAATAATCTAATTATCCAGTTACCTCAGAAAATATTATAGGTCCTGAATAGTTCCTGATATGGTACCCCTGGCTTCAAGGAGAGCTCTTCATTAACATTTAGTATAGTTCTCATTAAGCACCAAGCTGCATTGCTAATGGCAATTATATAATCCTGTCATTGGATAAAAAGTTTTTGTCTTTTCAAAATCTGTTTATTCAAACCAGACTGATGGTATAATGGGAAAATTAAGTCACAGTGAGGTGATACAAATCCAAACTATTTAAGATATGTAAAGCATTTCTACTTTACTTCTTGTGTATTTTTGTTGTTTTATCAGTGCCTTATACACACACAAAGCACTAAGATTAGTGCTTAACAGATGCAGAAAGAGCGATAATAAATTATGCTGAGAAGAGAGCTTCTCTGAATTGTGTTTGAAAATATGTAAATAACTTGATTATCAATTGGTGTTTTTACAGAGAAGGCATGATATCATACTAAGTATTGTTTTAAAAGAGTGATGTTTCTGAGTCTATATACCCTTGAGTAAGTTATGAACTTGCAACCAAAATTCACATATATAATATGCAAGAAAATCTTTAGGTTGACTTATAATAAACCATTTTAGTCACAAAAAGATAGAATGACTTTTAAGTAAACATTTATTCTCTATGCACTATTGGGTATATCTATGTATGCCCAGTGGATAGAAATTCTAGGTAGGCTGCAAGTTATATGGATTCTAGATGCACATATGGACTTTAATATTTACTCTTGATGTGTACTTTTAGGTCCAACTCCAAATCTGTTGGGCATATAAACACAGAGCCTGAAAAAGGTCCCTGTTATCTAGGATAAAGGTTTTGAACTTCTACCACTCCACCCATATTTCATATAAAACAATTTTGTAGACCATAGCTACTGGCTGTAAGAGACGAGTTGGTCACCTTAGAAAACTTACATTTCCCATGGGGGAGACACTAAATTAGACCACATTGTTTTACATGCAGCAACCCTTTTTCTGGAAAGGGACAACTTCTGCACAGCAGTTTCTCCTGCTTGAAGCTGAGATCACACAAGGAGAAACCTATTGTGTTTTTGCCAAGTCACTGTGGGAACGTTGGGAACAGCACACCCAATAGCCAGCAGAGGCACAAACACCATATCAACCCCTAAGATAAGCAACCTGCTTTATATAGCTCTTATGAAAATTCTCCTTATGCAGTCTTATCTTTCCCCTCCCACGTCGGGTTTCCCCTGTGTTTCTCATGGTGGTCAAATCAACACAGAACAGACTGTGTCTTCTCAATTATGTCATAGGTTGCCAACCGTGACAATACATTTATTACATTGAATGATCAGTCAGGCTCCTTGAATGTGTCTGGAAGTTGAACAGTCCAGTGGGATCCTTTGGATGATAGAATGATGATGTGTTAGTTTCCCCCACCAAGCAACTCCAAGGCTCCTGACAGGCTCCACAGACACAGCCTGGACTGTGCAGCCCAGCTCTTTTTACACAGGAACACTCACACTCAGGATTAGGTCTTTTCCAATGCTGAAGGCTGGCAGGCAAGTTCAAAGTCTGGACACAGAGGCACTTCCAAAGTTTGGCAAGGAGAAGGAGGAAAGGTCACTAAGTGGGGCTTTTTCACTGTGCTGTCTCATATAACCCAGACATCTGTGGCACGTGAACACAGAGATCTTTAGGTTGTGGAGGGGTCGTGCTTTTTCTTCTTGCCCCTACAGGACTTGCAGACACAACAGATTATACATGGAGAAGCCAGGAGTAACAAAGGTGAAGTCACCAAGGCAATGATGCCCAATCCTACAAGAATCCCCACCACCTGGAAATTCAGAAGAAAAGCATATTTCAGCAGTTAAATCTTCCTATATGTACACTTAGTCCAACTATACCATCCACTATGGACTGAATGTTTTTGACCACCTCCCTCTGCCAAATTCATATGTTGAAATCCTAATCACATTGGTATTTGGAGATGGAGCCTTTGGGAGTTAATCAAGTTATAAGGGTGGGGCCCTTATGATGGGATTATTTCCCTTAAAAGAAGAGATACTAAAGAGCTTGATTCTTTTCTCTCAGCTCTCCACCATGTGAGGATGTAGCGGGAAAATAGCCATCTGCAAACCAGGAAGAGAATCCTCACCAGAACCTGACCATGCTGGCACCTGGATCTCGGACTTCCCAGCCTCCAGAATTGTGAGAAATACACTTCTGTTGTTTAAGCCACCCAGTCTTTGGTAAGTTGTCATAGCAGCCCAAACGACTAAGACACCATCTCAGGCACATAAAATAGTTACATTTATAGGATATACTTTTAGCCAGTGCACAGCAATGTTCTGAACTTGATACCAACCAGGGAGACACAAAGGACTAAATCAAGGATGAGAACAAACCAAATGCTAAGCCAAGCTCTGCTGCAAGCTCGGTATGATCATGAATTGCTGATGTGGGCTCTCTCCACCCGACTTTCCTTGATACCAACCAGGGAGACACAAAGGACTAAATCAAGGATGAGAACAAACCAAATGCTAAGCCAAGTTCTGCTGCAAGCTCGGTATGATCATGAATTGCTGATGTGGGCTCTCTCCACCCGACTTTCCTAAACAGCCTCACAGGGATGTTAATAATGATCACTAGGATATTAGCATTGATTCCTTCAAAAGGAACACAGCCTTTAATAAACATAAAACGCTATTAAAAATAAACTGTAACTCCCTTTGAACCTGCCACATAAACACACAATGGAATGTGTACAGAGGGATCTAAGCCCCAGCAGGGGCTCATAGGATTTTAGAACACTGACTTTGATAGCTAATATGCCTTCAAGGGTTTTATGAAAGTCATTCCACACTTTTTCAAGAGGAAAGAACATCTGCCTTCACTCTGTAGGTCACTGTTAATTGTCTGGCTTCTCTCGTGCTCCTGACCCTCCCCTTGTCCTCAAGAAGCCTGTGTTCATGAATTTACTTTTCAGCAATTGCCCTGTTACTTTACCCTAGCCCTGTCCCAGAACTCCCCAGAACCTCCCAGGCTGGGATGAGTCAGTAGGGAGGATGAAGAGGTGGGCCCTTTAATCCTTCACAAGTCTGGTTTATCTCCTGCTCCCTTTAAGGTCAGGGTACCTGTGTTCGGTTCCACATCACTGATGCTCTTGAGTGGCCAAGTTTATTCCTACATGGCCCTTTGTCATAATGTCTGAGGAAAATGTCATTCTGAAAAACAAAGAGAAAGGTTTCAATAAACACAGAGTTTTGAATCGAGAGATGGATACAAACCACATCATCAGATCACCTAGTGGAAGCAAAGTCTCTCTCTGATGATATTAATGACTCACTCTAGGAATTTCAAACTCATAATCTTTAGAATATCTTGGTAGTTTTGTAAATCACTGAGTGAAAGCAGATTATAATCAATGAGACTCTTGATGATCCTAAACAAAAAGAGTAATGATCTGATCAATTATCTTAGAAAAGTAGCTCTAGCAGAGGTGTAATGGAAAGGGAAGACCAACAGCCAAGAAGCTAAAAGGCTGTTGTAGCAAAACAGATGAGAAAACTCAGTCAGTGGCTAAGGGACAGATGGATGAAGAGGAAATTACAGTCATGTGACATTAAGAAAGTAACTAGCTAGATGGAGAAACGGAGAAGAAATCACTGATGAGGAGAAAGCTGCTGCAAAGAAAGAAGGCAGTGGCTTTGTTGAGAGAAATGACAATAAAGAGATGGATTTTGTTGGGAAGGTGATAACCATGGTTGTGACGTGATGAACTTGAGAGATAGTTGAGATATCCAAGGAGTACTGTTCAAAAGGAAGCTCATTATAGAGATCTGGAACTGGGAGGGAAAAAAAGACTCAGGCATCCATGTGTATGGGGTGGGAGAAACCACAGAAGAGAATGAGATTACCCAGGAAAAGGTTTAGACTGAGAAACAAAGAGGCTATTAAACACAAACTCTTAAGAACGGGTCAAGGAAGAGCCTAGAAAGGGAACTGAGATGTGGTCAGAAAGGCAGAAGGGAAACCAGCTGACATAGTGTCACTGAAGGTGGTCAAGGTGTCAAACACAGCAGAGAATCTAGGTAAGATGGGGGACCGAAGTATTCATTTAATTTCCCAATAAGAAATCCCTCAAAACTGTGGGAAGACTACAGTCAGGGTGTGACTGTGTGGCCATCTGACCCCAATGCAATGAGTGGGAGGTAAGTAAATGTCAACAGCACGAAGCGATTAGGCTTTTTTGAAGCTTGTCTTCTAAAGGAAGGAGAGAAATAGAGGGAAAGTGAGGAAAAGATGGAGGCTTGAGAAAAGGTTAACTCATTTTTAAAAGGGACATGGTCGAATGCCTGGATATGTTGAGAGAGCAGAGAGTGAAAGTTGAGCCACAGGAGAAAGAAGAAACAACCATTGGGAACAAGTTTCCGAGGCTGCAGATGGGGACAGGATTCCAAAGCAAATGATGAAGACGACCTCATCCTCTGAAACTGCAGGGATGAGGATCAAGGCAGAAACTAGCTCGATACCACAGCAACACGCAGCATCTCTGTTTGGTGTCTGTCTCAGGCTTGGATTTTAGACGTCATCCCACTTCTGGCTGCATGTTCTCAAACTTTTCTATAAACACTGCAGGGATGAGGATCAAGGCAGAAACTAGCTCGATACCACAGCAACACGCAGCATCTCTGTTTGGTGTCTGTCTTAGGCTTGGATTTTAGACGTCATCCCACTTCTGGCTGCATGTTCTCAAACTTTTCTATAAACAGAGATCAACACGATCCTCTAATTCAGAACACTTGCCTAGAATAAAACATTATTAACAACAAGCTAATGCCCTGGGCTAAACGGAGAAAATGAAATCTCAAAAAACAGTGACCAGAAAAAGATGCTTTGACATTTGAAGTCTGTGTATCCAGCCATTTAACATCTGTACCATTTCATCACGAGCACCAGAACAGCACAAGCAAAAGAACAGTGTGTTCTTTGCAACACCATCCTCCAAATACATTTCAGCCAAAGGATGGAGATCTGGTGCACATATTTCCTTATACTCTTGCCTTCTAAAGAAAACCTTATGGACCTAGCCTCCTTGTGGATATGAACCCAATTAATACTCCAGCTAAACCTAAAGGAAAACAAAAAAGATTTCTATCTGTAAAACATGTGGGGTGTACAGTTAAATCCTCATCCATAATATCACTCAGTTAGAATCATGATAAGCCTTAAATATCAAACATAATTGCAATTCAAGGAGCTATGATAAATCAAAATTTTTTTTTAATGGAAAACATTTCTTTCAACCTGAGCTGAACTACCAGTCTAAAATGTCAATTTTCAGGCTGAGCCCGTGGCACACTCGGGAGAGTGTGGCGTTGGGAGCGCAAGAGTGCTCCCGCCGCAGGTTCGGATCCTATATAGGGATGACCGGTGCACTCACAGCACTCACTGGCTGAGCGCGGTGCGGCCGGTCTCAAAAAGGACAAAAAAATAAAAATAAAATAAAATGTCAATTTTCTTCTCCCCAATTTCTACCTCTTCTTAAAACACTGAGATCAAGCTGATTAAGATTCTTACTCATAGATGTCATCCTAAATGATGTACCTAATTATCAGTTAAAAATCTGGCACGTGGTGGCCAGCAGGCATCCCATTTTAACTGCACACTTACTCACTGAGCATGGGTGATACGAAAGCACTACATAAGCTGCTTGTTGAATTAATGCAAACCAAAGAGCTGAGAAAACAATAGCAATCCTACCCTGACTGGAGGCTTACACTGATATGGACATATCTTGTAGGTCCAAACTGCCAAAATAGGAAATATCTATGAACAACCTTATGCTACCCCAAATTTAAAACGCTATAATCAAATCTTTTCACCAATCTTTCACACCACCTTCTAACTCTCAGGTTACCATCAGCACATGGCTGAACGAAGCTGCACGTGAATTTGAGAAGACATACTTCATTGAAAAGTACCACTGCCATGCAAATGAATGAGAGTTAGTTAAGAGACACCATTGATTTGAACAGTTTTTTTTTTAATTCAAAAAGAGGAAAAAAACCTAATTGTGGTAGGCAGATTAATTGCCTCCCAAAGATGCCCACAGCCTAATCCCCAGAACCTGTGAATATATTATTACCTTACAAGGCACAAGGGATTTCACAGATGTGACTACATAAAGGATCTTGAGATGCAGGAGATTATTCTGGATTATACAGGTGGGGCCAGTGTAATCACCTACGGCGTTAAAGGCAGAGAACCTTTCCCAGCTGT